GGTACGAATGGCTCCACTAGATATCAAATTCAAAAACATGTTAGCCCTAAAACAGATATGTAGATAAGAGATTTTGCAGAGAACCAGTACAAGCATACTTATAAGTGGCAATTGTCTTTAAGACTTTTGTTTTTAATAAAATTTGTCTTTAAGAGTTTAACAAGCTCCGCTCAATTTTTAGGGGTTCAACGACATGCTTCACAAGTTCTATTGTACATACTGCTGTGATATAAACTTGTTTGAAATCCTTTTTTGTTGGTAACTGAAGCAACAAAGATTAAATAACCCAGTAATAACCAAGATAAGAAAACAACATTGATAATACTTTGAGCATCACATTGATTATTTAATGTTATTTTTTCTTTTGTGGAATTTAATTGATTATTCAGTGTTATAATTCACAAAGATAATTGAAGAGTTTATACTATAGCACTTCAGGAGTAAAGTAGTAACTCTTTCTCCCTTTGAATTTGAGTGGAAGAAGCGCATTCATGAGTAGCTGAGACTTACTGTTGAATTGCTTTTAGTGGTGATTGTTGCCCACAAAAGCCAAATTGATGTCTGGCCATGTCAAAGTGGAGCAGAAAGAGCATAAAATAGAAGGATTGGACATTGCTATGACAGGTAAAATTTGTTATCTCGATGCAATCACTTTCATTGGAAATCAGTTTTTTTTTTTTTCATTCTTTTGATGAGATTCTTAAATGGAATAAAGTGGAAAAGTAATAATTATTCAGTAAGAATGAGATAATGTTATAACACAATTGTAATTTACAATGTTTCAAGGCACTAGTAATAACTCATTCTATCTATAAGAAAAATCAGTAACAACATCTGGTTTCACAGTATTAGAAATTTGAATAAATTGTAACAAAAGTTATAAATGATTATAATACTTTTTCTGATTATACTTGTTCAAAAATATATATTACATCTATATCTTAAGATAATTCATAAATCATTACACTATGTTCTTCTACATCTTTGTAAGGGTATTAAGCAAAATGACAAGAAACAATCAGAAAATTAAATGAAAACTTCTTGTAGGAAAATTTTGAGAAGCTGACTTTGAGTTTCAATTTAATCAAGTGGTTGGATATCTTTTTTTAAAAAAAATAAATCAAGTGCTTAGATATCAAGAACAAAAATTTAATAAAATAAGATTCTGTAGTAGTAGAGAAGTACCTGGTCTAAAGTGTGTTGAGCAAAGTCAGTTGTTGATATCATAACTCCGGCCACAAATGAGCCCAATTCAAGACTAAGGCCCAACTTATCACTGCACTGAAGAGTAAACAAGAAGGCAAGAGTTTGAAGAGGAGATGAGAAATTCTCACACGCAGCAACCGAATGTGCATACCATTCATTATATGCACCAGCCACCACCTTAATAGTTCCATTAATTTTAAATTTAAAAAAAAAAATTATACATGTAAAAGCCTGTAACTTAAAATACAGCAATGTTCATGCAGTTGAATGAAATGCTACTTTCATCATTTAAATAAAATTTCCATCGCAGAATTCAGTGTCATCCCAAATGCAAATTTCTGTAAAAAATGTCTACAGTTTCATCAAATAAATTATTATCTTAGCTTTTCAAATAGATTTTATCTAGGGACATGATATCTTCGGAAATTAGAATTTACAATTGCATGAGCTAATTACATCACCAAGAAACAGCTGCTTAATACCATGTTTAGCCAACACAAATTGACTTTGCACAGCTTGCACTCCTATTTTCCTAAAGATGACGGATATTTCTAGAAACAGAAATGATCTCACTCACCTATGACCTCTTCCAGAAGATTGAAAATAGTTATACAAGATGAACCAAGACCCACTAAAATGGTAATATAAAATATTACAACCAGTCGCCATGACTTCATCATCAAATTCATATCAATATAGATCAATACTATCTCAGCTATTCCTGCTGCAACTAGATCGAAGTTCATAATTCTTTCTTTTATCATCAACTAGGTGTGTCCTAATAATCTCATAACGGCCAGTGAAGTCTGTTGTGTTGTTCCAGTCATCTGTCCACTGTCCATCTGACATCAAACAACTGACTTATCCAGAAATTTAAATTAAGTTTCTGGTCTTAAACTTCCAGATTGAACTACTCCCTATTTACTCTACTTATCTAATTACTCTCTTATCCAATATCAGCTTCTCTTCATACCTAATTTTCTTACAAATCTTTCATGAAATATATGATTCAAAAGCTTCTATTAACATTGAGTCTACGAGGACTAACCTACTGTTAACAAAGTCTAAGTTCCTCCAAACAATTTTGGATAATTACTGAGCAGTAAGACATGTGAAACGCAATATACACTGCACATGACCAAAAATTACCATGCAGAAGATGGACAAAACTAACAATAAACAAAAAAAAATATCTAATACATCACACTTACCCAAGCAGATAATAAGCAGAAAGCCACAGCAGCAAGTTGATAAAGTTCATTTGTCTGAATTACAAAATGAAACATAATTACCTCAATATTTGGAAATTACGAACTATGGAGCTTGCAGGAAGCAAGAAAAAAAAAAACATATTTACAACTTACTTGGGAAGATAGTTGTATCATTAACTTCAAAAAGCGAGGAATGAATGTCCAAGACAAAAAAGATACAGTAGTGAGATATATAGACAAGATTACCAACCTGAAATTAAGAGATAAATAGAGTCAGCAAACATCATTTCTACTATATTGTTGACTGGGCCCAGCATAGAAGAATGAACAACCATATACAGCAGGGAAGTTGCCAGGAAATACTTACAACTTTCCCATTGAAATCATTCCCTGAAGTAGGCCACTGTTACCCCCCAAAACTGGGAGTAAAGCAAACAGTAAACCAACAGCACAATCCTGAAGTAACACAAATTGAAGGAATAAACAGCTAACTCCACAATATGAACTTCTACAACTCAATAAGCCAGCTTTTTTCAATTATCTCCATATTAAAATGGACTAAAATAAAACCTGAAAAATAAGTGTCCCTATTGTAACTTGACCATGGAGTACATTCATATTACTCCTTTCCACCAAAAACTTCACAACCTGGTAAAAAGCAACAGGGAGAGCATGAATTGCCGGCAGAAGTTGGTGACCAAATAAAATTAAAAAAATATTAGCTTCAGGAAGTAGTGTAAAAAATACCACCGCAGTTGATGACATCGATAAGAAAGCACCAACAAATACACCCTCAGCCAAATTTGCCCCACATAACTGCAAAATTGGCAGATAGTCAAGTCTAGCATCAATCTGGACAATAACTTTGGTGAGGGAATCCTAACAAAAGCAAATAATAAACTCTTGGCATACCATGGCTGTTATACCACATAAACACGTAAATATCACAATTTGAAGCAGGCCTCCAAGAACAGCAACAGGCCCCACAATTTTTAACTGCGTCAACAAAAATAGATGTACTTGCTC